TATACATGTAATATTTTATTATTAATCACAGACAATGTGCAAATACGCGAAGACGATGCGCATAACACAATTAGCACACTCAAATGCGGCATACTTATATCGTTCTAGGGCGGGAGAGTCGGGTTGCGGTAATAAATTAAGCATTTCTCGTAAAACAGCGTAACTATAATTATCTAACTTAGTCACAATTCGTATTTACAGATACAATAAATATGTTAATAGTACACGTGCGATGATAACATCGCGCTGGACATCCGCGAGATTATGGCATCGTACGACTGCCGTTGAAAACGCGCGACGAGATGCGCGCTCAAACGTTAGCTTGGCGCCGTCTCCGTCTCAATCTCGGTCCTCTCGGCTTTGGATATACATATCCACCGTTCCGAGCCTGCCGTTGCGTGATCGCCCGCGGTGTCAGGAAGTAAAAGTGGCCGACATCGCCTGGTAATTGGTACGCGAAGTACGCGTTCGGATTGTCCGAACGATTATCCTGCAGTGAAACGGGATCGATGAATTCAGCATCGGGATTTACAGGCGGACGCGGATTTCTGTAGTTGACCTCAATGTCGCTTAGCAGCGACACGGGCTCCTGAATATCTTCCAGCTCCTCTCGGGACTCGGAGAGGGGCATGAAATTGTTGCTATTCCTATTGGTCGGTTGTATCGTGTTTTGCACTCTATAACGAGAGGTCGGTCCATGCTGTTGAACTCCCTGATTTTGCAATCGGTAGTTATCCGTTTGCAACTCGTAGTTCGTTGACGGCGGCGGCTGTTTCGGCGGACGTTTAGGCTCAATTATCTCGATGAACTCACTGTCCGGATTGATTGGCGGCAAAGGTCTCCGGTAATTCACGAGGGTGTCGTCCTTGAGAGAATAGGGTCGCTGTGACTGGTCCCCATATTGAACTTTGACATTGGGCGTTTTGTAAGTCACTGGTCGACCAGTCTTATAAACGTTTGACACATAAGCATTATGGTCGGGTTTCTCCGTGACACTGCTTGACTTTCCATAAATCGGAGTCGTGCTTGATATCTCGGCTCCCGATAGTTTCTTGCCGAAGATCGTGAAATATTCTTTCGTAACGTCATCTAACAATTTCTCGTCCTGCGGCGTGAAATACGCGTGTTGTGGATTGGACGTTGTGTCTACGATCGGATAAGCGGTGCTCGTGGAATAGACCGGATGCTGTATCTTATATGGTATGCGTTTCTGTTGTCGCGATGGCGAATCAATATCTTCGTAATCATATTGTTGATTGCTCGACTTGACGTCCTGATACTCGTTGTATACGTTCTGTTGCTCTGTACTATAGTATGGCGATCTCTGATTACCGCCACGTTTCGAATAATCCGCCACCTGAAAACTGTATTGATAAACCGGCTTAGGCTTCGTGCTCTGACGATGATACGTTTGAGGCTTCGGAGTCGTGTAGTATGTTTGCAGCGGACGCGCAGGTACGGGCTGATAATATACAGGTGCTTCGTCGGCTAACATATGTTGGCTCTGATCCTGCGGCGGATTGGCGTTCAATTTCGAAGACGTGACCTCCGAGCTGTCAGTGTATTGGAACGTGTGTGAATTCTTCACGATGCTATCGATGAGTTTCGCCTTGTAATCCTTCGGAATCTCTTCCGCCGCGATCGTCTCGACGGCGTAATAATGCTTCTTTTGCTCAGCCTGTTGAGGTCGCGATGTCTCCGCGTCGTAGTACGGGGATTTCATGGTAGTAGTCTCGTAATAAACGGGCGACGACTTCGCTGAATTTTCGTCGTTCGATTCCTCGTAGAAGTAATAGGACGCATGATTACGAGATCGACCGGGTTGACTAGTAGTGATGATGCTCTTTATAGAGGCCGGCGTCACCTCCACCGGTCGATCCAATTTTATTGACGATTGCGTGGTTGAAGGATAATACGCGAGAACCGGCACCTTGCTAGTCACTAAAGTAGACCAGTCTTTCTGTTGGGTCGTCGCTTCAGATACTTGATTTCCATTTACGGGACTAATAGTGTATATCTCGGTGTTCTCGAGGGTATGCGGTTTTCCAGAAGTCCTTGTCGTGATATCTGCATTTGATATGGTTCTTTGTTTAGGCGTAAAAGTGCTCGACGCGTTCCTGCTCTTCGTACGACCGAAAGACACCTTTGCAGTTATCGATGAAGAAGAAGTTGTCTTGGTTATCGAGCTTGGTAGTGTAGATGAAGCTTTATATTGTTTAGTCGTAAACTTTCTCGGTGGCAAATAGGTTGGTCTCGGCGAAGTTGTAGTCGTCGGCCGCTTCGTATACTTCTTCGTGGTTGTCTTTTTGTCATCTAGAGCGGAAAAGAAATCGGGTGGCGGCGGCAATATGATGCCAGGCACTAGAGGCCCTGGCGGTACAGCTGTCGTATTATCTTGCGGATAATAAAAACTATATGGCGGCGGATAATAGATGGACTGATCTTCCTCGTCGTAATCCGACTGATTACTCGGCGGTGCCACGAAGACCGCTCCGGGCGGTATGGCGTGATAGAAGGGCGGGTGGACACCAGGCGGCTGGGGTTGTTCGGGTTTTATTCCCTTTTCTTGGCCATTTTTACCTCTAATCGATTTCTCCTCAACGGAAAAGTTTAGCGGGGGACCGAGGTCCGGGGTAAATATTGTGCCATTTGAGGTGATAGCAAAGAACGGGCCCTCCCCCGGTAATAATCCCTGCGTGTAGAGAGGATCTGTGCTGTAATCGAGGGTGCCGTTGCTAATTTCCTCCGCGGTGCCGTTCGGCCTGATGATCTGTATTGGTTCCCCATCCGCGAGCTGTACCGGAAAGGGCGGCGGTACCTTGGGCCGCGCTGGTATCTTGACCTGCCGTTTCGGCGCCTTGTAATCATCGATAGGCGGCCATTTCGGCTGCGTACTGTCGCTGCTTTGTTGTTGACCGTCCTGCTCGTGCTCGGGAAATTTCCCGCCTCTCAGCACTAGTACGTGATTCTCGGCTAGCCAGATCTCCTCTTCGTCGAGACCACCCAGATTTTCGATCGTGTCTTTCGGCACCTCAGGATTGCCGAGGTAGCTAATAATGCCGGGCCGTTTCGGCCGATTGGCGTAAATCTCGTTCTGTATGAGGCCGTACTTGCCCTCCTTGACCTGTTGAGAGAGCGTTTTTTTCTCGTCCTCGTCATCGCCGCCGTTGCCGCGAGTGCTTTTCCCCTCCTTGCCGTTGCCGGCCGCTGACATGAGAATTCCATCGTCCCATAATGACTCGCCGCCGTCATGGCGTTTTGTATCGGCTCTTAGGTGACCCCCGATTAGACGGTGAGACACTTTCCTTCCGGGTTCCGCGGTAATCTCGTTGTTCGTCGTGCTGCTTGACAATCTCGTGCTCCGATTGTTTGATACGTGTTCCTTGATCAGTCGATGACTAGATTCTTCGATACCGACGTGCCTCCTCTCCCTGTTCGTCGACGATTCCGTTATCGTCGCGCATACTGCTATCAGTATTAGAACTAATGGCAACCTCCGTGGAAATAATATCAGACGCATCATCTGAAAATAAAAAGCACTCGTATTATTCACCTCGCTTTTTTACATATATGTATCTATTTTTATAACACGATCAGAGAATATTTTATCCCCCGCGATCAGAGAATAGTTATTTTTATTCTGCATGCGCGAGAGAGTATAACGGGAAACTAATCTCGTGTACACCTTGAAGTGCGTTTTATTATGCAGACTTGGTGTGCTAATTAAATAACGCGTTTTATTCTTTATGTTGCATGAAATGATTTCTGTGTTTAATAGGTCAGTAAAAAGATTTGCGCACACATGATGCAAAATAGTTTATTATTCACAATGACCGGAATTGCATATGGAAGTCGGTAGATATAGTGCGCGTATTTCCAACGTATGTCAAGGATCTAATTGCGTAACAATGTCAATTAAATCGTGAACAAAATGTATGTTTATTCGCGTTCTAGCCAAATTACTACGGTCCTGCAATTTAATTTCTTACTGGAACATAATAATATGCTAGTTATGATTTTCTATTATTATTTGCCAAAAATTGTGTCACCAGAAATCTTTGAAATATTTTCAAACATATTATAGATAGAGAATACTAGATGTATTTTACCAAATTAAACAAATATTAAAATATTGAATCATTTGACATTTATTAGATGAGTAACTTAAAATGTTAGCGATGTCATGAGATGAAATTTTTGCAAATCGCACGATTAATCTTTCGAGACTTTGTTCGTGCATTCGGAGAATTCGTTAATTCCGCCGATTGCAGTGATATGAGAATGCGATATTGAGGGGGGTGCCACGCCTTTCTCTGGCGAACAGATCGGTGAACGGTCGACAAACATTCACGGGTCACCGGAGTAGATCAGCCGACTCTCGTAATGACTTGCGACTGAGTAACGAACCGGAGCAATGTAGGTTTCTGTAGGTACTCGTATATATGTTGTATTCTCTCTCTTGGTTTACCGATGCATTAGTAGCACATACGAGCGCATTGCCGCAACATTGCAACGTGGTCGGGCAAATTTGCGGAAGTAACGCTGGCATGAGCAACACGATAATGCGCTTCCGACAGCTTCGCGGACGTCGCACTTTGCCTATCTCGATACTTTTCTGAAAATTTCTAGTTTCCTCCGATTCGTTTATCCGCGAAGGATGCATCCTACGTTATTTTGATATATTCAATCAATTACTCACTTTAGAATTGATATAAATAGAAAGTCGTTATATAAATAACGTTGTGCAAGTAATATGATTAAAATATAAGCTCGTAATACCTGTATAAAGTATTGCACAATTAATCCCGAGTATAAATATTAATCGCGGTAATTGATGTAATCTTTAATTTTAATTTTCATAATTGCTATAACTCTTTTCAAATTTATATCTGCGATTGATTATCTTATGAATCCCAAATCGTATCCGTTTAATAGACGCGAAAATCAGATTGTACCTTTTTCCCTGCATCCGGAACAATATGACAAACATTTACCAGGATTTCTGGTATGTCGTTGAATTGCTGTAATTGAACTGTCACGTGTAATAATACGATTCTTCCGAGACCTTCAAGGTGGTCAGCCCGACGATAGAGACGTAAATCACCTTACGTGAGTACACTACTCGATTTCTCCGCGCAAATAACTACTTAATCTACGCGAACTACGTGACGGAATATCGGTATTTATCCATGCAGAAGGAATCAGTAAAACACATTATATTCGAACACTAATGATGTGCGTGATCAAATCCGTCAACATGTCCTTAACATTTGTGGAAAGGATTTACCGCGTGATTTATCACGAATATTATAACATAGATAGTATAAGATATAAAGATATTAGATATACTATTCATTGTCAATTTTTTGCCAATAATTTTTATAATCATTATTTTGTTAGAATATCATCCTCAATTCGTAATGAATGTTTGAATCATTCAAATTCCCGAATTAATTAAAATATCAGAAAGTAGGCTATTTCAAAGTTACATAAATATTAAAACTGTAGAGTGAGTTTTTTTTATAAAATAATTTTTTTTTATTTTGCGCCACACTTTGATAAATCAGAAATGGATGAAAAAATTCTCATTATACACTCACTAACGAGTTTATTCTACGATTTAATATATTCTTTCCGATATTTAATCGACACTATCCACACTATGAACGGATAATTAATGTTTTATTTTGTCAAAAGTCGTGTCGCGATACATTTCATGAACGGATTTTCGATTGTTCTCGATCAGTCTACGCATTTTCAATGTGCATCGAGATATAGTGTTCTTTCCATGTTTGAATAAGTCTTCGAATATTAGCGTTCTCCAACATGAATGCGCGTATTGCTTGTCAATTTTACACACGAATAAATGGCCACGTGTTTTCGGTACTTCGATCGGTGTACGATACGATTAGAAAAACGTGTCGGACTTTGACAGAACCGCGGTATAACCGCTCGTACCGGCATGGTACACGTGACTGGTGGATTTTCATCACCCTCTCTTGGTGTACCGGGCCCCCCAAGGACGTTTGTCGGGGAAGGTGGCCATTTCCAGGCGGTAACGATACGTGTGCGCGATTCCACGATGGAAAGGAGGAAGCCGCGGTCGATTCGTACGATTAACGATCGTAATTAGATCGTTGCTTAGTATCTGGCATCATTTCAGCGTCGCTGGTTACACTGCCTTTACGCGGGGGAGGGCCACGTAACTTCGAAAAGTATAATAAACGCGTAATATCGCGGGATCCTTTCACTTTTGTCGGGATTCTCAGATATTCGATTTGCTTACTTTTTAGAGCGATACTCACGCGACAGAAAGAATTGCGTGCATTTGCTTGGATTATCCATGCGATTGCCTAACCATCCGGTAACAAAACCTTTTTGTACCGGCAATAAGCGCGCGCTATGCTCATAAATCACACCCACAGAGTATATTTTGCTTCGCCGTCCAGTTTTGCTGTCGGCGCAACACGCGATTCTCCTATATAAAAGTTCGCTGAATAGGCAATTCTCGGTTCATTCACCGAAATTGCGATCTTGAATCAGTTCGCCGACTTCAACGCCCAGGTCCGATATTAACTTAGAGCTTTGTTGGCACGTTCGAATGGTGTCGAAGAATTCTGAATAATCATTTCGTCTCTCTGCCTCGCGTATTTCACATAGCATTCCTGATAAAGCGTGTAATGGCTTTGTAAATGAGATTATTGCAAATGAGTAGAGATTACAGATCATACGTTGTCAAAATAGAGGCGACCTGATTTCGCACGATGAAAGTCGAACGATATTCGAGATATGATGCAAGACTGCGATCCCTGCTGGCAGGTGCCATTACATTATCTTTGCGAGACCTGCTCTAGTAAATGTTTACAATCAGACTATTGCAGCCGTGGCGACCAGTAGTAGATTGTTTTGGAAAAAGTCGGAAACTAGTTTCGAGTAGACGTAATAATTATACTTGTTATATGACAGCTTTAAAAGTCGAAAAGATAAAAATAATTTTTTTCTTTTTAATTACAAATTATTTTTATGTAATTATAAAATTTATTACAACTTTATGCATGTAATAATTGTATAATAATTACACATCTGTTTCTATATCATAAAATATTTATCATTTTTGCTGAAAAATGCATATTTAATCATATTGACGCATGCAAGTCAAATTATTCGAACGTGCAATTTTCTCTGTCATAAATTAATATCCCGGAATATAACAGAAGTCGACCTTGGAGGCGGACCATCGAAGTCTCGAGTATTCCATAATAAAACGACATTGAGCCATCGCACTAGTTCCGCGAGAGTGAAAGGCCGGGGTGGCGGGACGAAATCTCTTTGCAAAACAATTTCAAGTTGATTCATCAGATAAATATCATTGGTTTTGTCAGGTCGATCGTACCGATTGTAACATGATTCACAGCTACAGTGTTATTTTAGCATTAAACACTGGAAACGTTTCTAGTTTTGTTACTATTAAAAACACGATTATGTCTCTTCGTATATTTTATAATCAACGGAAAGTATCGATTTCTGTTATTCGTACACTTTATCATTAATCGACGAGTATCTTGTAACATAAACTTATACGCGGACGTGCCAGCACCACGTAAGAACCGCGGATCTATCCGTTATCCAATCGAATTTACGCTTTCAGTTACTTTCCTTTTTGTTTCGCGTTGTGCTCGCTGAGCAGGATTAATTCCTCGACGCTACCGAGTGATTTTCGACACGTCACTCGTTCGCATAACGATTTTACAACTATGCATAGAAACTTTTGGGGTACTCGAAACCAGTGAGACACACCTTTTTGCTCACAGGAAATCGATAATTGACTTTAACGGCATCCTGTGTGACACGCCTTTGGGGTTCACGCGGTTGGTTCTTTATTTAACAATCTTCTATTAGCAATTTATAACTGCTTTATGTACAGCTCGAATCATTCGATAAGTTACACGATAGATTATTGATAAATATACAATTTGTTACATTTCTTTCAAACTCCTACGCATAAAAGCGATAAAACCGGAGAAAGCTGAAATGCGAATGCATACAGTGTCTCGGCATAAAGAAAGTTATATCCATCACTTTTAGAAACAAGGATAAGCCTGATTATCCGTGTTACCTAGACACTCAATATATACGCTGCACTTGATGCCATATATTAATGCATCAAGCTATGCGTACTCGTGATTTAAATTAGCACGTTGGATATGTTATTACTCCACTTTCTTCTGTATATGTAGATTGTGCTTTCTTATATCCCTAAAGCAATTCAAACATATATGAATTTAACTTATTAATCTTATTTTTTGCTCGCGTTGCATTAATTATTTTTATCAATACTGTGACGTGAATGTGATATCAATCGCAATTTCTTAAAAATTATTAAGTTTTGCTTCTTTAATGGAAAAATATTATTAAGTTAATTTATGTACTAGTCTAATAATATTCCATTACTCAACAATTATAATTGTCTGATTGTTTGCACGGGGATTAACACATCGCGCAGTGAATTGTTCAATCTATGAATAACATCGTGTCACGTAGCATTCGTGCAGCATCGTGTCGAATGATGATTATCGGTGCGTATCGTTGGAGGTGAATCCCCCGGCTCCATGGCGCTGAAGAAATCAGCGCCGTATGAACGACAGGGAAGAGTAGCACCCGGAGTGGAATACCTTGGCATTGACCGGCTTGCTTCGCCGAGGCAGACCGCGCGCGCTTGCATAATCTGCTCGTCTCGTCTCGCTCATCCCGGGGCACCTCTTACAACGGATTACGGCATCGACCGCCGCATCTCGCAGTAGGCGGCGAGCATCTCGCTCTTGAGATGGCTCTCACCGGTAATTGTTCGCGCAGCGGGATAATCCTAACGGCGTACATAAACAGGCGAGTGTAAAACGCGCACGAGCGGTATTCCTTCGGGTCGACGACTGGGATTTCGTACCAAATAAATTCCTCTTACGTTTATCGACAGAAAGTCTAGAGACGGAATCACGGATACGGTGTCTTTCTCCCTTATTAGAGGTCTCGAAGACGCATTATATAAGTTAATTGTAACTCTTGTTCTTCAGAGCGATTTCATTTCTTCATTTTGATCTTATTTATTGGGATGATGGTGTAATTATCCTTCAGTATGGAATTATAGTCAAGGCAGACCGGAAGTTTCCTTGAAGAAAATATTTTGAGATAAATAATTCTTTATTGCTCGTTAAATTAATTTCCGTATTAATTATATATAATATCTTTTGTACAGATAAAATATCGCAACGATGACGTTTGGAACAGATATGTGATCTTATGAATCGTGTAAAGTAGTATTATATTTTACTATTTTGGGGCAAATTATTTCAATTTTTTTAATAGTATTTGATCACTACTTGTATTTTGTTACCGAAAAGTTATAACTCTCGTTTCATGTTCACCACGAAATTTGCATAGCATCGATAATCTTTCGATACACACACACAATCTTATACGCATACAAATCTTTATAATGCATTGTGCAGGAGTGGCGGAATATATATGTATAGAGTGCATTATATAGTTGATGGTGAATATGTATAATACCGGTTTATGTTCACATCCGTCGTTCAATAAGGTTAACGGTCCAATTTCGAGCCATAAAGTGATTTCCAATGCTTGCCTTGATTCTTTCTGATAAATTTAATATCGAAAACGAGCAAAATGGAAACTTTAATCGCATACCAAACAATCTTGTTAGGTTGCATTAAAAAATCTAGCGCAGTATATATCGAAACATGCAAGTCACATAAATATTATCAATAAAATCTCATTATCTTTTACCACAAGAAATTACGCGAAATAATCACAATTTCGATAAATTCCTGCGAAAAATTTTATTTTCCATCTTTGCATTTTTTAAGAAAAAAATTAGAGAATAATTTGTCGATATTCTTAGGACTATAAAAATCAAAGGTATTCCCGATTTTTAGCAATAATATTCTCTTCGAAGAATTCTTTCGCGTAATCACGACGACCTTCATGCCTTGAGGCAACAGATGACCAAACTTGATTGGCGAAAAATTCAAAGAAATAGGTCAAACCACAACCACCTCGCGTTAAAGCTCGGAGAATGGCCGCAAACCTTCATGGCGCAATAATTTGTACAATAAATACATCTGTGCTAATCTCATCAGCTGGTTAGTCCCGTACGTTTTCAACTCGCACATTGGCCCGACTGTTCACCTTCAGAATAGTACGAACTGTAAATTTTGCAATACTCTCGAATGTACTTAACAAAGTACGCAAAATTATTATTTGCGTTCTTTTGACAGTAATTGCTTTGAGAGATTATTTTACAGACTCTTCAGCTTTAAAACAAAAATATCGATAATCCCGAATTAACAATTGAAACATTGAAAATGAAATTATAAAAAAGATCCGATTCTCTAATTTTGATAAAATGCTTTGTCCTATTCTGGAATTTTCATATCTCATTCCACTCGGGAAGAATTATAATTCAAACATATTTTCGGTGATATAGTTAGTTCACCTTTTGGTCGATCGCTTTTAACGCCGCATATTTGCGATAGCATAAGTTTTAATATATTTTAATTAGCATGAAAGATGTGCGTGTCACGATTTTATCGCGTTTGCAAAACAGTCGGGCGATGAAACACGATCATCGGAATTTGCATCGTCGTCAATCGGGATTCCTGTCGATTGTTCTCTCGTATTAATCGGCTCGTTTCTGACGTTAATCGCGCGCCGGATTTCAATTCGAACAGGTTTATCCCACGTGATGAATCACAGTTCGAGTATCCAGACGAATATTATCGTGTTGTACGTCGTCGCCTATTGCGCGACTCTCCATTTTTATCCGCATTCTTCTACTCACGTTGCATTTCCCACGCTTACGTCAGTTTTTCTCATTCGCTGCAAGTTAGACGTCACAACTACAATTAAGGACGAAAGGGGAAGCTGACCTGTGCAAGGTCGCGCCCAAGGTTCCGTTGACGATCCTGTTCGCCGCGTTGCCGTTTATTCGCTCTCGAAGGTCCATGATTGAAATGCATTCGTGAAAGCGATATTGTGCAAGATATTTTATAATTGAGTATGTTCCTTAAATCTTTTTGTCTTTGTGAAAGTAGCGCGAGGTTTGTGCGCGAGATATTATTTTATAATAGCAATTATATTATCGATCGCGAGACTATTTATAGCGTTTTATCTTAAAGAAGCGTTCATAGCGAATATTGATACAATCATTTCCTTTCTCCGATTGCGCTCTAAAATCAATAGCTTTCATATTATTCCGTAACAAATGCTCGATTATTTGCCGCGAATAATATGATACACTTATGTACTCATACCGTGCTTATACTTTGATACTTCGTATTTTCAGCGAGGAATCGAAAAGTTACCATTAGTGATCTCGCTAAACATGCGACACGCGACTTTCTCTATGTGATCACTATTTTTTTCGTACGTCGATTTCATGCACGAATTGCATAATTTGATAAGCGACTACAACGTTAGAAATACTGTGCAATCGGTACGATACACTCGATCTAACTAATATCTAACTAATATCTGCGATCAAATCCTCGATTCGAAGAAAAATATATATTTTTTTTTAAAGAAAAATATTTAAACATTCATTCTACATCACGATTATTTTTGTCTATGCTTCGCCGTCATTTGCGCATTCGCAAAATTATATAACATTCTCGTAAATGCATGATGATTCTCTGACCGGTCTTAACATTAAATTGTAAACCGATGAAGCCAGTGATTATTTATACCGATTATTATCTCTTTTCCTGTCTCGAAAAAAAAAAAAAAAAAACTGTCGTGCATCAGATACATAATATTGACGCATCGATGATGCAAATTAACATCGATCTTTGAACTTTCTAAAAATATATTGTATTGGACGGCCGAAAGAAATGATTGATTGATCCGTCCTGGATTACATTTAGCTTCCGAATGTTTTTCTTGGGCGAACTTACATCAAAGTGAAAGCGATCAGCTATTGACAGTACGTTATGATTTATGAAACAAGATGAAAGTAATTAAACGCATTATATTATTGTCGCGGTAAAGTGCCGGAAGTTCTAACTTTCGCAAGATTGCGGTTGACCGGATATTCCAAGAGCCTGGAGCGAAATACGCAAGTACCGCGGGAACCATCGACGGCACCTTTTATTTCTTGCTACGATATAAACTCATTTAATGTAATTCCGAATGTACGAGTACAGAGAGTAAGGCTGTCGGAAATCGTTTCCAGAAAAAAAAAAAATTTTTTTCGGGAATATCTTTTTCATAATTGTAGACATTTTTTACATGTAAAGTACATACACTTAGCTTTTTTTATATTAAAATAAAAATTACAATATTTGATAGTTATGCTTCCCATACGAATATTAGAGAACCGTTCTCCCTACGGGCGACGATGGATATGCAATAATGACCGACATCCTGGCGCGCATGATGACCGTGCGCGTTATAATTAATGTTTCTCGGAAGACCTCCTAAACCTTCGTGTCGGTTAGATAAATGGCACAGTTACGCATATTAAGAAGAATGGATGTGGATACATTGAGTCAACTGTGCATTATCGAGAGCATCGCGTAATCGGAAAACAGATCAATAATTTTGAAAATCTCCATCTATAAGAATATTGCTTTACAGTTGCACGCGTTGCAATAATAAAATAACTATTTCTTTAATCCTGATTTTTGCAAATAAATACATTTCTAGATGTCTTTCTTAAGATTTGAATCTTACTACTTTGAAAAGCAAATTTAATCTAATCTTTCTAAGAGAGAAATAGTAATATTATTATTTTATTATATTTTAAAATTTAATTATTTATTTAAAAGTGTATAATCAAATTAGAAAAAAGATACATATTCTCAAATCTAACTGCTTCGCTTCGCTTCGAAAAATAAACACGATTTTATTGTGTACACAATTTCATCTCACATGTAATTAAATAAGTTACATGAGGCTAAATAATTATTATAATGACTCCTATTAACTGTGGTACACTGAATCTTTCAAATCAAATATTTTCTCATTACACAAAAAAGATGTTTTTTCTCGCGACAACTACGGAAATGCACTCACGATTGTCTACAATGCCGTATATCGGCGTCCTCGGTTGAAATCTCCTTCGATGCGCTCCGAAATGACAACTGGCTGCTTTAGGCACATGTATCGACGAGTACACGCGCGGAAGAGATCTCAACAATGATGAAGACTCGCTTCGGCATATATCCCTTCTCCCATAACACACTATGCCGTTGCGAACCGTACGTGTCGCGAGATGCACCCACTGCACTTGGACGACGATGCACGATAGCTTCCTGCGCCGTGTGACCAGTGATCTTTATATCAGTGGATCCTCTACTGGCCCTGCGCCAGAGTGTCGTCCCACTCTCTGTGGTCCCGCGATGCGACGCAACCGATGCGATGCGACGCGGACGTTTGTGACTCGACACCGGTGCACACCTATGCACCTTACTACGATGTTACTACTACGGTTTGGTCCGCTGCCTGCCTCGCCGAAGGAAGGGAACGTGCCGCGTGTGCAATGTCGCCGGTCGCTCTTACGACTGCCGGCCAAAGCCATCGTCCTGTTCCGTTCGCAGACCTCGCCCTTCCTTTTACACGTCGGATTCGCGGTCTTCCCCGCGTGTCTCTTGCTCTTTCGGTCTCACCTGCCCGAATCAACGGGCACGAATTGCGGGAGGTTCCTTCCGTTTTCTGCTAAGGTTCGATAGTCCTCTAGATTGCGCATCGCACTCGCGATGCGCCTGATTGGAGCCGATCAATTTCGCGATGCGTCGCATTCCAATGACCCGAGATCATAGATTAATGAATAGCGTATATATCGTTGACCTATATTCTCCAATAAAACTTGACGCGATCGTGTTGAATTACTCGCCTATTTTATCTCGTTTTCTACTTGCGTTTCTTTCTCGAAATGTCCTCCATATAATGTGTAGGATTACATAGCGTACACACAGAGAAACAAAATTAAATGTAATAAATATGTAGACATTATTGGTCTTCGGGAAAAGATTTTGAGATGTATATAGATATTTATTACCAAACGATAATTTAAAATATAAAAATACGCATAGATAATTTATTGCTCACGCATATTGTGCTCGTAAAAATCAAGGTCCCAGTTTTTAAACAGTTTTAGGCGCTTTATGTTATTTTGACAATGATACGGACAGACGCGTGGTGATCTTTACTTGTCTATGCGAGCGATACAATCGCATATGCTCGAGACGGAAATGGAAACGGGAAAACCTACTTTTTACCGGATGACGCCGTCTGCGCAAAAAACTGCGCTACGAGCTTAGCTAAAGGAATTTGCCAGGAATTTCATTTTGATCTCTTTTTTTGCATTTTTGTCTCCAATTAATTTTTTAATCTTGTCATTTCTCAATAAACGAGATCGTTTGTGGGATAGTAAAAAATATTATTTGTTTAGAATATATATAAGTAAACAAAATATCATTTATATTATGTCATCATTGGTATTAATGCATATGTATATTAAATATTTTAATTTACAATTTATTATATATTACATAATGATTATCTGATACACAATCATTTGATAAGATTTAAATGAGTACTTTCTTGGCTTTCACCAAGAAGTCATGGTTCATTAATAGAAAGTAATTTGATATAGCAACGCCCCTTTGAATGCAATAACAATGGGTAGAGCGAATTCATAACTGTGCGCATATTACGATTTTATCCATATCTAATTCACTTTAATATCCAATACAAGTATCGTGTCTACATTTTGTCCCGAAGTTGATAATGAATCTAGAAACAGATACGCGCGACAAATCTCTGAATAATGGTGTCACTCATAAGTAATCACCTTGCGTGAACGCGAATTGCATCGATCGCATATCAATTGCCGCAGAAAGAACGTTGATATCAAATTAATTATATTAATTACGTTTTCATATTGATATTCATTATTTTAATTATGACAACAGTTGAGCACAAAAAACAATTGCAAATAGAATAAATGTCTCTATATTAGAGAAGATTATACGATGTTGATTTTTTTAACAGTTCGATTATTTCAGTTTCTCCGCTTTATTCGAGCTTCTTTTTTCTTACTGTTGTACAATATTTGTCGCAATTTAAAAAATTTATTTTTACAATAGCGAGAAATAATTATTCGTTGTTTGTATATAAAAGCATATCTCCTTTCGAAATTATTGCCTGGGGAATTCTATTGGACATTTAATAGCGAAATCGAGACATTGTATGGTAAAATATGAGCCTGTTTGCATATAAAGAACTGAGGATACTTTATCATTCTAGTCATACGCGGCAAATACGGACATGCACGAAAGTTTGGTCGGGTCATATGCCAATCATGAAAATTTCAAACTAACTAATACACAATTGATTTACTAAGATTTCTCATAGCTAATATATTTTTACTATATAAACTATATATTTATATAATTAA